TTATTCCGTACCATAATCAGGTTGGATTCTTTTTTCCCTGTATTTTGCCTTTGAGGCATAGGTAGTTCATCGATGTCTTAGTGAGATGAATGAACATCCCAGTTCTCATGCTGAAGGAGAGGCAGGGACCGTGAGGGATTTTAGCCAGGAATAACCTCAAAGAGTGACTCCTCTTTGAGGAGTCATGCCGGAGATACAAGGAGAAGGCAAGTTTCCTGCAACACAGGTGCCTTTGAAGGAGGTAGAACAGGAGCTGCAGGCACTGACAGACTCTGGTTTCACCTTTCCACCAGATTCACAATTTGCACTGAGAATTTCGCTGGAGTAAGGAGCTGTCCTGATGACATGCATGGATTTACTTGCCGCTGAGGTGGGATTACATCCCTAAGTAAGGCTGTAGCCACAGTGGTAATTAGCTGCACAGTGGTTGACTTGGACAATGCAGAGACTAAAATAAGATGCAACCTGTACACATCCCCAGAGAAGATGCTGGAATGTATCGTGGAGAACTGGTGAAATTGTTTGTGTCAAAGCCATTTTGGGGCCAGTGGAGGCAAATCACGGCCTAATTAGTCCATCTAGTCTCAGCACGACTGATTCCGGAGGGGTAATGGCAATTTCTTCCAGCTGCTTTCCCTGTTATATTTTATTTTCTTAGGTGGGGAAGCTCTGTAGAAAGATAATGCTGTGGTTACAGCACATGACTGGTTCTGCTTTCATTTCCCTCATGGTTTTAGGCAAATCACTTCATGCCTCTGTGTTTTTTGACTTTTCCTCCAGTGCAAAATGTCTTTTCTCCCAAGAGACACTTGAAGCTCAAAGTCGTTGCTTTTAGTGACTTCCTCATGGGATGTGCTGTGAAAGCATTTGAAAGCAATTGAAAATATGACAGAATTGCAGTGGAGCGAGTCCTCTGAAATCCTGGCATTGTACGTGTGTTCCTTTAATTATTGTGTAGGACTGAGCAATAAAGGAAAACTTTTAATCTCACTTCGTAATAAATATTGAACATTAAAAGCTAAATAATTAAACTCAAAGGCAGGGTGTGTTAAAGCTAGATTAGTAAGACATAAGCAGGACATTAAAACTAGATCTTTCTTTTAATCTTTTAGTGCTAAATTACCCAATTAAGAAAAAAGCGAAGACGAAATATTCACATGACAAAAACTTTTTTGTCATCACTATAAAGTACTTCTGTGTCCCTGAAGGCAGAAGCACTTCATGTGCAAGAAATGGAATCACAGGCATTGAATATACATAGATGCCATGTCTTGTTTTCCCATTGTGGAATAATATCCTGAATTAGAGCTGTATAATTAGGCCGAAGAGATTTGTTAAGGATTAATAAATGCTGTATAATAGATGTTCCTCCCCAAAACATCACAGAAGACTTCTGGAACAGTGAAAAGATAAAAGCAGGACAGGGAACAGGAGGTGGGTTTAGATGAGATACACGGAATAAATTCTTCCCTGTGAGGGTGGTGAGGCCCTGGCACAGGTTGCACAGAGAAGCTGTGGCTGCTCAATCCTTGGAAGTGTTCAAGGTCAGGTTGGATGGGGCTTGGAGCAACCTGGTCTAGTGGAAGGCATTCCTGCCCAGAGCAGGGCAGTTGGAATTGGATGATCTTTAAGGTCCCTTCTAGCCCAAACCATGCTGGGATTTTGTGACAGCCCCTGCCCAAGGAAGCTGCCCCACACTCGACCAGCCTCAGCAGTGGCAGGTTCCTGGCATGGCAGACACAGGTGTGGGTTCCATACACAGCTTTAGACACACACAGAGCTGCAATTTTCAGTGAGTGCTTGTTAAAACAACAAAAGCCACTCGGTCACATCGGGTCTGCTGGAACGAGGAGAGCCCCAGCGAGCACAGCCACACGTCCTCCAGCCCGGGCAGAGTCAGGCGTAAGCAGAGCCTGGTTTACTGGTGCAGAAAAATTATGCCCCAATAAGCCCCGAGTATTGTAAGGAGGAGGAATGAAAACAACAGCGGCACTGAGGTGGAAGACTTTCCCAATGGGACTTTTCTCCTGAGATCCAGCAGCAGAACCGAGGGGCAGATACGGAGTGATCCAGCTGAGTTGTGCCAACATGACGGATGGTGCACAGGGCAAGGCAGAGCTGAGCTCCAAATTGCCTCTACCTGGCACAGCCAGCTCAGTCCAGCCTGGTTTTTGGAGCCCCAGCTCACTGATTTCACCAGCGTCCTTTGTCGCTCCATTATTTCTTCAGCCTACTGGAGAAATCACAATTAACCACTGGTTAATTTAATCTTGCTGTCCAGATTAAATCCCTTACTGCTTGGGCTGGCAGTTTTTAACCTGGTGAGAAGTGAAGCCCTGCCAGATTTCCCATGGGAGCCTTGTCTGCAAAATGGGAAGGCACTGGCATGTGTGCTCTCTGGAGCTGCCTGCTCATGCACTGCCCTACACACTGGCTTGTTGTGACCCCCCCAAAAACCTCCTAACTGGGATTTGAGTTGCTGCTGGGAGAGCTAAGCTGTGAGCAGGGCTTGCAGAAGAGAGCAGCTCCCCTCCAGATCTATCCAATACGGGATGTTGTTTCTCCTTTTCTTATAAAGTGGGTTGAGAAGGTAAGTGGAACATGCTGGAGCAGGAAGAGGTGACTGATGGTGGATATGAAAAAGATTCTTTAATTACAGGATCTGAAGAATGAGTCCTTCATGGAGATATTTTTAAATGTTTCTTTTTTTTGGAAAAAAATCCCAGTGCTCCCAAGGAGTTCCCAGCAGCAAAAGCCCTGGTCTTCTGAGCATTGTTGACTCTGATCCCTTCAAGATGGGGCAAAAGAAAATGCTGTGCTTGTTAGAACTCTCCTGTTCAACTTCTCCTGCAGAGAAGTGTTTGTTTCCTTCCATCTGCTGCTTTTGCAAGGAAGGAAAATCAGCCTGTTCAGACACCAGGAAGTTCTTCAGCATTGGAACAGCAAACTGGAAATGCAGAAACAATAATGGGCTGAAATTATCATACCTAAAAATACTCTGCATGCGAGTCACAAGCATGACCCAGCCCCAGAGCAACTCAGATAATGCAGACGGCAGGGAGTGGATCCGTGGAATGTGGGCAGCACAGGGGCACGTGCCTGGCTCTCCTGCACCGTTGCAGCTTTTTCTCTCACCAAAGCGTGTTTTGCTTTTACTGGGAGCTGCCGGCTGCTTCCTGTGTCTTTGTACCCTGTATCTGCCCAAGCCGCTCACACGGGAGATGAAAGCCAGATCCTCTACAGGCAGGGCCCCACAGCTCTTGGATTTAAACCGAGCCCATCCCTACACTGGGATTATTTCAGGCCAATCCTCAAAGGCAGCAGCTCTCCACACCTCCGAGGGGGCGCAGGGCAGGTGAGGTGGGAGGCAGAGGATAGGGTGGCACTGCCCACAGGCTGCTCTGATGGCAGACAAACCACACAACCCGCAAGTCACCCCAGGGGGGGACACGGTTCTTGCCCTACAGCCACCGCTGTGGGAAGTCTATGGTGTCTCCTGCAATCAATTCCTACGCGGGCTGTGCCTCCAGTATTTGCTTTTCCTAAATTCCCAAGCTCTCGCTGCGTTTCCATGGTAACGCTGAGGGATCCGATGTGGGTTATTTGGAGACCTGAGGTTCTGGTAGAGAGAGCATCTCCCTCTGCTGAGCCCTGCAGCAGTTTTGGCTTAGTACACCAGAAGCTGCTGTTGTGCTGCAGTAGTGGTGATGTGGAAACTCCCACGTGTGTGTGCAGGTCAGGAGTGCACTCACCTTTGGGCCAGCAGCACCTGGAGAATGGACTGAAGCAGCCCCAGGATGGGAATTGTTCAGACCTCAGCCAGGTCCCCCCTCCTCTCCATCCCAGCAGAGGCACAGCCCCTGCTTAGCCCAGCACCTTGATCCTGTGCCTCTGAACCCACTGATAACGTGATTCCTGCCAGTGTCCACGGGACCAATGGGTCTGTCACACTGATACGATCCCAATGGGACAAGTGGAAGAGCTGTTTCACACAGAGCCAAAGCCCAGGCTGCCCTGCACTGCAGGACAGCCGGGAATGCTGCTGCTGTGAGCTCCTCACCCAGCACCAGCCACCAAGAGACCTGCCTGCCTGCTGGCTGACCACTGCTCATGGAAACACATGGGGCTTGGAATTTATTTAGTCTCTGTGGCTTAAAACCCTTCTCGTGTCTGACCACAGCCATCTGGCTACAGCCTGTCACACCCATCATTCCCTATCCAAATGCAAACCAAGGTCTCTCCACGATGAGAACCAGGAGCACTGGTTCTAGCCAGGTCATTTAAATTATTAAAATGAGAAAGAACTGCTCGGGCTGGATCCCAGCAAAGCAATTTGTATCTTATTCTTTCTTCTAATGAAAGTTAAAAGCTTTCTAACTTTGAAGTAAGGGCTTTGCATCCCAACAACGATCCAAACCTGTGCAAGGAGAGGTCGGGCACGTTTCTGTCAGAGCTTAAGGGCAGCCAGAGCAACAGCAGGAGGGTGTTTTGGGAATACCATGTGCCAGGAGCAGCGTGGACACCCGCAGGTCATGGTCTCTCCATCCCACAGAACGACCCCAACACGCCCTGAAGCGTGTCCCTACAGGATAGTTCAAGTGTGAGAGCGGCTTGTTATGATGTGACAAGGCTTTGATTTAGGGATGAAAGGCTGAAGGACGGAGTCGGGTGGATCCCTGCTGTGAGGGGGGCACCCCAGCAGAACCACATTGAAATATTTGCTGCCTTTTTAATAATGTTTTAATGATGTATTTGGCTCCCAAAGCTTTATCTGGACAACAGGCCCTCTTGCAGTGCTGGTGACTGCTTCATCCGAACAGCCGGCTGGCAGCGGCGGCGCGTCATTCCTGGCGGCTTTAACCGCTTCCCCCAATTCTACCGCCAGACCTCGGCCCTGCCACCTCCCGGCTTCCCGGGGCCGGGCCGGGCTCTCACCGCCCACCGACGGGGCGGTGCGGGGGGCGGCCCGCGGAAGCGATCCGGGGAGGAGGCGGCGGCCCCGGGCGGCGGGCGGGCGATCCCGGGCGGAAGCGATCCCCGGGCCAAGGCGGCGATCCCCGGGCAGAGGCGACCCCGGGCGGGTGATCCCGGGCGGAGGAAGCGATTCCGGGCGGCCCCACCATGAAGCTCATCATCCTGGACACGTACTCGCAGGCCAGCGAGTGGGCGGCCAAGTACATCCGCAACCGCATCGTCCAGTTCGGGCCGGGCCCCGGGCGGTTCTTCACGCTGGGGCTGCCCACAGGTGGGTGCCGGGGGGTGGGAGCGGGGCCAGGGTCCGGCCCGGCCCCTGCCCCGGCTGAGGCGGCGGCTCCCCGCAGGCAGCACCCCGCTGGGATGCTACAAGAAACTGGTGGAGTATTACCGGAACGGGGACCTCTCCTTCAAGTACGTGAAGACCTTCAACATGGACGAGTACGTGGGTGAGTGCCCGCAGCCAGCGCTCCTGGCTCTCCTTCCCTGCCCTGCCGGGTGTGTTTGTCTCTGCCCTTGCGCCTGGTGCCGCAGCCGGACACCACATCAGTGCGCGGTGGGGCAAGAAATTCCACCTTCAAAGGGCTCCAGGTAAGATGGAACAACATTTCATAGAAAGACGGGATCACAGAATCAGTTAGGATGGAAAAGACTTCTGAGATCATTGAGTTCAACCTATGAGCAAACACCATCTTATCAACCAGACTGTAGCACTGAAGTGACACATCCAGTCTTTTCTTAAACATCTCCAGGTAATTAGCCAAGGGAATGATGGGGACAATTAAAAAACCTGTGGAAGAAATTTGAAATTTTTTCCATAGGTTTGAAAACCTATGGAAAAAAACCCAGATACTGAAGAGTAACAGATGTTGGCTGTATTACACACACTATTACAGATACTGCTGTATTTTACCTGCACTGACGTGCTGACCAGGTAAGGAACCAGCTTATCATTGCAAGCTCAGATAGTGTGCAGCGTTAACTACCACCTTTGCTCTGGGATTATAAAGGTCGCTGTAGCTCAGGTCCCTTACTCAGTGTGTTCCCTGAATGCCCTTCAGTAACTCCTGCTAAGATAGCAGGGGACTGTTTCTTTTCTGAAGCTGTGGTGAAAGAGCCTCTTTGGAAGAAAGAGAGATCCAAAGGTGAAAAACATACAGGGTAAATATTTGCTAATGCTAATTTTACCCTGGTCAAGATTTTTTTCCGTGAACAATCCTAATCAAGCAGCATTAGGGAATAAGCAGTCCAGTGTGGGTTTATAGCATTTGAGGGGGAAAAATATGCAATAATGATATAATTATTATTTCTCAGGCTTTTGTACTTTTTTTTAATCACTCTTGCTAATATGAACTGGGAGAAAAGCTGAAAAGGTACTGACAGATGAGGCACGGTACACACCTGCTTTTCTGAAAATCTGCTGCATGTTAATATGGGCACATGTCTTATAGGAGCTGTTGTGATTGACCTTAATTCTGCTATTTAGGAAAATAAAAACAACTCGTGAAAGTTGAGGGAGTGACAAAGGACAGACAGAGCAGTGCTCTGCTACCAAAGCCACTCCAAGGGTATGGAAGTGCTTTATGTTATGATATTTTTCCAGTTGGTCTTAGTCCTGTGCATGCTCTGTTACCAGGTCTCCCGAGGGATCACCCAGAAAGTTACCATTCCTTCATGTGGAATAACTTCTTTAAGCACATTGACATCTCACCAGAGAATGTCCACATTTTGGATGGAAATGCACCTGATCTCCAGGCAGAGTGTGATGCGTTTGAGGAGAAAATCAAAGCAGCTGGAGGAATTGAACTCTTTGTTGGAGGTGAGAATTGTCAGGATTGTTCACTTCCAGTGTCTTTCAGTGGATGTGCAGTGAAAGGCACCCCACAGTCCACCACCGTGGGCACTGATGTGTGCTGGCAGCCTTGTCTCCCAATGTACTGCTCCCACAGTTTTCTGCGTTCAATCCAGTCAGTGAATTGTTCAGGAAATGATTAGCAGAAGAAATGGGAAGAGCTAGAATTATACAAATACAAAATGTATTATGGTTGTCAGCGCTGACAGGAAACTCCTGGGAGTAGAGTCCTCTGAGCCAACAGGAGCCCAGCACAAACTTCTCCCATCAGTTTGCCTTGAGATTCTGCCACCTACTTTGCTTTGTTGTTGTCCCAGCACAGTTAGGGAAGAGTCCGTTGACTTCAGAGGGGCCTTTTGCTGTCATTCTACCAGACACAAATTTGAGCTTGACCAGAAGAATTGCAGGTGTTTTTCTCAGATCTGTGTTTCTGGAAGCACTGACTGTCCTTCTTGTGGGAGAGCTGTTGGCTCTGCTCCTACAACTGACCCTCTTCTCCCACTATCTCTGTCCCAGGTATTGGCCCGGATGGTCACATTGCTTTCAACGAGCCGGGATCAAGTTTGGTGTCCAGGACACGAGTGAAGACCTTGGCCATGGACACCATATTGGCTAATGCCAGGTTCTTTGATGGTGACCTCTCCAAAGTCCCCACAATGGCCTTGACAGTCGGAGTAGGCACTGTCATGGATGCCAGAGAGGTGAGGAGAAAAGCAGTGGCTTCCTACAGTAGCTCTGGAGCAGCTAAAAGTTATTCTGTTTTGAAGCAACAACCCTGACTGCCCTTCTCTGTGTCTTGGGGTGCAGGTGATGATTCTGATCACAGGAGCCCACAAAGCCTTTGCTTTGTACAAAGCCATCGAGGAAGGTATCAATCACATGTGGACAGTGTCTGCCTTCCAGCAGCACCCCAACACCGTGTTCGTGTGTGACGAGGATGCCACGCTGGAGCTCAAAGTCAAGACAGTGAAATACTTTAAAGGTGAGTGTTTGACCAGGCCAGGCAGCTCTTTTGGTAGTTTTTTAAGTGGCACAAGCCATGCTTTGCATTAGATGTTTTTGTGTAATCACCTCCCAAAGGAGTATATTCCTTAAATATACCACAGTAATCAGTGTGAAGGTAAATGCTTAGGTGCTCAGGTGTAAGGGCAAAAGAACAGGGACACCAGTAATGTCTAATTTCATCAGCATCCAATGAATAAGAATTTTGCTTTATTATATCTACTTAAATCATCTTTTTACTTTCTCCATCAGGTTTAATGCTGGTTCACAACAAGCTCGTGGAGCCCTTGTACAGCATGAAGGAGACCGGAGCAGAGAGGAGCCAGTCTAAGAAGCCGTACAGTGACTGATCTGCTCGGGGCAGTGCTGAACCAGCTGTTGAAAACAGCTGGGAAAAAAAGGGAATTTTTCCAAAAACTGTTCTCATATTTGTTCTTAAATTAGCAGAATGGTCATATGGTTGCTTCTCGCCATTAAAGAGACAGATGCCAAACACCTGCCTTAATTAACCAAATGGATGGATCCAGTGCACTGTGTTCCACAAACTTCTGTCACTAACTCATTCTCTGAAGGTGAAGTCAGTGAAGGATGAGTTGTTTGATCTATGAACTGACTGAATCTTTGTCTGAAGGCTGCAAAACTGAAATGTGAGGATAAGTGAAAGTCCAACACAAACCGAGTGGGTAATCGCTTTGAGGTGTATTCCTTGTAATTAGGACAAGTACCTCTTGTGTCATTCCTTCTCCATGAAACACTCCTGCATTAGAATAATGGAAAATGGGAAGCGAACTTGTCCAGGTGGAGAAGGGAAAGCTTCACATGAGCAGCCCCAGAGCCAGGAGGGGGTCAGCGAGAAGATGGAGCCGGGAGGAAGATGAGAAGAGACAGTGGGACCTGAGCGGAGACACAATGCTCAGACTGGATAGAAAGATACAATCTCCTCATGGGGACAGCCAAGCAATGGGGCAGATTCCCCAGAAGCTGTGCAGGCTCTGTCCTTAGGAGGTTTCCAAAATCTGACTGGATAAAGCCCTGGCTGAGCCCTGCTTTGAGCCAGATGTTGGACTTGTGATCACCTCAGCACAGGAGGCTACAGCAGCATTCACCCACACAGGGTTAATTGTGCAGTTTGGGCATCTGAGGATGTTATTGATGTCACACAAGAAGCCCTTCATGTTCAGTCCCAGGGTATAACTTTCTATGCCCTGGTGCTTTATGAAGTACTCAAAAGGGTAGATTAGTTCAGATGAAGCAGAAGTGACCTCTCTGTGCTCAGCACTGTTCATTGTAACAGGGCAGAGCCTGAAGCAATATGTTCTCTCTCCTCACTGCAGAACTTTCCATTGCTCTGAGTAAATGCCAAACCAGCCTCCAAGGAAATGCTCTGTTCCCACTGGCTTCAGCCTCTCTTTAATAACAGAAGTCCCACATGGGTGGACAACAGCCTGTACTAGCAAGACCCCACTAATTCTGATATGTGATTCCTGGGATTCTCATCCAATGCTACCACAGGAGGGGCAAGAAAACTGAGCGACGTTTATTTTCTTTATGCAGAAATTTTGTAAGCTGTTGATCTGTAATGCAACTTTCTAGACTAAACATCTTTAATTTTTTCTAAATGGTGGCATTGACTGTATCTGTGCTTGTGAAACCAAAGCTGTCCTGGAAGCAGTTTGGTAGCAGTAGCTCCCTGCTTCCTTGCCCAGTGTTTGCTGGCAGGTTTCCACCAGACACCTGCTATGGTTCTGTCCTGCCAGGCAGCAGGCATGCCACATGAAAATGTGGGGGCCTTTAAAGGAGAAAGGAGGAGGCCACAGCTCTACCTGGTACCACGAAGTGTTTGTAAATAATTTAATTGCATGCACAGAAATGGTGAAAGTGAGGTTTTCAAGAGGGGAAAAGACTGAGGGAGAAAATCTGCACTCTGTTGCCAGAGCTGCTGGTTTGCTCTCTCTACAGGCAGATGCTGGTTTTAGCTGTCCTGCCTTTGCAACACCAGCTAATTGTCCTACATGTGCAGTCATCTGCTTGTCCCTTCCCCAGAGGGTCTGTCCTCCTCTGCCTCGCTGCAGAATCTGGAAACTCCAGCCCAGGGGTCCCTGAATTTATAGACAGGGTGGTGGCTACATCGCTTCTCCTCCTCCCTCCACACAAAGTCCTTGAAAGCTGAGGTGGTTCATTGCTACATCTTCCAGTACTTCAGTATTTGTGCTCTGGTACATCCCCAGCCATGGATCTTCATCCCCATGTACCCTTTGGCATCCCAGCCCTGCCCTCAGCCCACCTCTGTCCTGGTTTAGGGGATACAATGCCACCTCCTCCATCCGGGCAGGATAAGGGGGTTTATGCATATGTTTCTCCTTGTCACAAACATTCCCCATGCCCACATACACAGCTCAGCAGGAAGAAAGTCCCCTCCAAAGGCAGGCAGCTTTGTGATTCAGCCTGGAGAGTTAAAAACTGGCCAGAGGGGAAACAGCTCAGAGCTGCATCCAACATGGTGATTCCAGAGCAGTGTCCCAACAGCCACCCTGTCTCAGTCAGGGGCTTGTACCTCCAAGGGAAAACCAGGGCCCTTTGGGTGGAAGGGCACTTTGCATACATAAATGTCCAAAATTCCACGAGCAGAACATGTGCTGTGCCAGCTTCACTTGGGAGCTCTGAGCCCAGCTCTGGGTTGTCCCATTCCACAGCCCCATGGCACACGAGCACCGGAGCCGATGGCAACCTCAACACTGACCTGTGCTGCCAAATCCATACCAGAATGAAGACAAACAGAGAGACAACTGTGTTTACCATCTTAAAGTGAATTTAGTGCATGTGAAAGGTGCAGGAAATGCAATTCAAATCATACACAATGTAAACTTTTCCTACACGCTGACCAATAGCCTAAACTGAGGTGAGATTCACTCTTACCATCTCATCTTTTTAATCTCTGCCTCTTCTGACAGTATAGACTCTCATCCTCTGGGAAAGGAACTGAAGCAGCACTCATTTTGGCCACATATCCCAGTATAAATTTATGAACTATCAGTCAAAACTGAGTGAGAGGTGATCACTTTGAGTTTCTGAAGAGTCTTCCATCTCCTGACCTATCCCTCCATGCCCTACTACTTTTGAACACAGCACACGTAGCTTTAATTTCCAAATAAACTTTTAGACTGTTCTGCAAGTGGAAAAACTTGTAAAAAGTTAGTGGTTCCCTCTGGTAATTACCTTCATGTTTATAAAACTACTTGCTGAGATTTTAGGGAAAACAATTTGCTTTCTGAATAATTTGAAGTCCAAAAGTAGTGGAAATAAGGGATCTAGTCCAGAAGCAAAAGTATCAACTAATCAAGTTTCTTATGTGAAGAGTTAGTAAAAAATAAATTACTTCATCATCTGAGAATACAAGGTAATTGTCAGTATCTTGAAGAATCATCTTTGCCTGGTACTTTTCACCCTCTCACATCCTCAGCTCACTGCCCTAGCACTCATCACTGGAAAAACAAGGAGAGGCAATGGGAGTGAATCCAACAGGAACACTGGGTTGAGTCACCAACCTGACAGAAATTTATGGAAAAGGCTGTTGGTCATTTTCTGCCCAAGCACTCAGGGATGCAAAGGCCCAGGCACAACAGCCAGCGAGAAGGAGGTTGGGGATAATCAGCTTTAATGTCATTAGAAAGTACCAGTGACAGAGCCATGAGCTGCTTTTCAGAGAAACACGTCAGGAAATTCATAAAAGCAACAAAATTTGTTGCTAAACTTCCCCAGTCCAAGCAGCACCACTGAACAGCTCCAGAAAGAGCTCTACAGCTCTAACAAACTGCCCAAAACCCCACAATATTCACGATCCAAGAGTCTCCAAATGTTGGTCTCCCTAAAGAAACCCCCAAATCTTTCCATGATTTGAGGCTTCTGTTTGCTTTTAAAAAAGGGGCATCTCTTGGTATATATTTTTCCAGTAATTTTCCAACTTCTGACTGGTTGTATTTAATATGGTATGTCTTTAATAATCGATGTGATTGTTAGGGCATTCCATGATGATCCTGACCCCAGGATGGGTAAAGCGTCTCCTTTGGCTTTGGCAACAGGCTCTGAGGTGTGAGTATCCTGCAGTGCAGGGTAGTTACCACTCTTCTATCACACAATGGAAGTGAAAAGCAAACAAAGGACACAAAAAAAAAAAGCATCTGTCTCTGGTTTGTTCACCTTTTGTTGCTGGAGAAAGCTACTGGTCATCATCTTCAACTTCCCAGTACTCCCCATCATCAATGTGCATGGCTTGAAACAATCTGCAAGACAGAAAATTAGTGGTAATAATGCTGAATATGTTTAATACAATCTAAATGCAACAAAACGTACAAAAGCAGTAAGTTTCACTGTTTTTTTCAGTATCACAAACCACTCATGCTGTCAATGTCAATTAAAGTAAAAGACTCTGCACTTCTACAGCTCGTTACACCAGAAGGTTTGATGGTACCTTACACACATCATATCCCAAGAAATCCCTGAAATTATTAATCATCCAAACCATATTAAAGTTACCCAGCAGGCTGCTGTTCCTGGGTGGTCTTTAGGCAGGATATAATCAGCAGCCAAACCTGCCTGCTCCAGACAACTCACAATCTCATTGGACACATGGAATTGGGCAAACAAAACCTATGAGCATCAGTGGGGCACAGGGGGGACAAAAAGGCACTTGGCAGTGCTGGGGTAATGGCTGGACTGGATGGTTTTAGGTCTTTTCCAACCTAAATGGTTCTATGATTCCCTGATTCTAAATTATTCTTTATAAACCACAGGAGCCTAGTCAAGACAAGGGGAGGTTAAGCTACACGAAAATAAAAAAGGACAACAGGAGAAAAAGGAAAACAGAGTAGGAAGTGAAAAAATACTGTTGGGAGAAGAGACAATGCTGAAAAAGGTCCAAGAACAAGAAAAATCCTGTCAGCCACATCTGTTACAGCAGAATGGATGGTGGACTGAGAAATTTATTGGGATTTTGACTTTGGATCCAGGCACTACTATCCCAGTGATAGGCACATATCCCTGTGGAATACACAAAGCCGAGAGGCTGCCATTGTCACATCCCTCTGAGCTGCCTTTCACCTGTCCTGACAGCAGTAGCATCCTCTTTCCCTTGATCCTTCCCCAGCAGTGATGATGTGAGGCAAGTCTGCAGCTGTTTAAAAGCAGCTTTCTGACCCAAAACCTTATGCTGCACCTGGGCATCTCCATGGTAACATTTCCCTGCAGGCTGTGTGTCAGGCAGAGGCAGCACAGAAAGGATGGGGTCATGACCCTGACCAAAAAAAAACAGGAATAGGCCCACAAGTCTCCTCCAGAATTCTGAAACAAAAAAAATCTTAAAAAAAAAAGCACATCCTGAATCACTCCTGATTTTTACTGTTAGTGTTGGGTCCTTGTAAGGGTAAATATTGAGAGAAAAAACTATGTCTTAAACTATAGCTACAAATTTCAAGGTAAGGATCTGGGACTGTTAGAAAAAGTAGAAAATAAGTGTTCCAGCACTAGAGGAAATACCTGTAAGCACAAACCTGTTAAAGCAGGGGGAAGAAGGGTCATTGAAGTGCCGGTAGGGGTTGGCCCTGGACAGAGAGCCCATGCAGAGCCAGCAGAAGTACTGCATGCACCCTGTGCACGTCATTTTGTTACAGCCATCGAGCTTCTGGGGGGAAAAACCAAGAAACAGCAACATCAGAATCTTACTGTGTCAGGCTTCAGTCTCTCTATGACAACAGCCCTCAAAACTACACCAGCCAATTAATACATTCAACCCCGACTCCATCACACACTGATTTTTTTTTCACTGTTCATCAGAACTGGGAGCTGGAATCCCAGTATTGTAAATTGGCTATACTACTAAAAATACTGGAAATTAATATTTTTCTGAAGCTGGTTTTAATTCCTGGCTATAGTGTGAAGCAGCAGTAACCTGAACCACACAGGAAATGAAAGGATTCATACAGATCCATAGTCAACCTGGATCTGTTTAGTACTGGAGCCTGAACACCACCAATTGCTGGATGATCTCAAATCCCTGAGCTCCACAAACATCACCTCACCTCCTTTTCCATGTAACACAGACAGAAATGGAAAGTTCTCCTAGTATTTCCTAGAAATTCCCCTTCTCTGGTGAAGCTGGAGGCTACAATCACACCTCTGTTCCAGCCTAAACACAGAACTGCCTTAATTTCTGTTAATTTCTGTTCCCATGATTTTCCAGCCTTTCCCTCCATTCTCACCTCTATATGAGTCCCGCAGCAAGGACAAGACTTGGAGTTCTTTTCCAGCCATTCCTTACTCTCCATCTCCTCGAGGGCTTTCTGAATCACTCGCTTGCCATAACGTTGTTCCAAAAATCTTTTAGTTGCCTCATCTGCTTCCAAATAGCTGTTTCGTAAATCCATTAATTTCTCTGGGGAACAAAACCAAAGCAAACCAAACAGCTTTTGTAATACATCATATAAAGAAGCCCAGCTAATTGCAGCATAAAGATTTTCAAAGGAAACTAACATAATTCATTAAAAATCAAGAAAAATATTAGAAAACATAAATTCAAGAGTTTTACACTGTTTCATTATAACAGAGACTTGTCAATGGCATCAGG